GAATTTGATGAAGATTCAGAAAAATTATTTCAGTCAGTTTCTGGTGATAATTTTAACGTCAGACCTGAACCCAGAACCAACTCTGACAGAGAAACTAATCCATTTTTTTCTCACGGTGAGGGGAGGATTTCTAAATCTCCAGAGACACCTTACAGCCATGGAAACAGAGATTTACAAGAAATCTCAGTCGCTTATCTTGGGAGAGATGAATCTCAGATTTCAGAGCTACATTTCCCTGAGGAAATGGGAGGTTGCCTGTATGAATCCCTAGTCAGCCCCACAGAAAAACCGGATGCCCAGAAAAATGACCAACATTCACTTATTGACTCAGAAAGAGAATTCTCTTCTCTGCTGGACTACGGTGCATCAGGTAAAGCCAGCTGTAAGACTGCAGAGGCGTCCAACCATGAAAATATCAGAAACTTAGAAGGAACAGCTGTCACTTTAACGGGATGTCTCTGGAAACATGAATCCCAAGTTACAGCAGATGTTGTTGAGATGTTGCCGTTTGATGAAAGCAGAATTCAAATTTTTCGCTTTTCAAACTCAAATTTAGGTCAAACTGAAGACGAGATACCAGCTTCACAAAATAGTGATGGGGAAATGAATTTATTCGATCAAGAAGATGACTTTATTCAGTTTTTCTTTTCTTTTCTTTATTTTATATTTTTCTTATTTTATTTCTTTTTTTTTGCCTTGTCCTCTCTGTAAATCTGTAAGGCTTGTTACCAGCATTCAGACATCAATGCTGTTTGCTTCACAGCCAGACAGTTTTTATTTTCTGAAGAAATTACCTCTAAAACAAGAAACACCTTTCTGGCTTCACAGGAAATCTTTGATGACAAATCTGTCTCTTATGAAGACGTCAACGTGGATTTGTTTGGTCAGAATCATCACAATCTTGAGCTGTCTTTAGATAAAAGCGACCCTCAAGTTTTATTCCATTTAAAAGAAAATTTTACACTAAAAGAAGCAGAACTCGTAATTCTGGATGGATTAGGTCAGGATGAAGCATCCTTCGTTCCACACATGCTAGAACATTTAGGGGCCACAGAAACTGAATATTTAGTTTCAAAGGATGAATTTAGTGAGGAGGAAACATCAGCTTCAGGCAACGTTGATAGTAAAGAAAATATTTTTGACGATTTATTATCTTCAGAGGAAACTGAAGCTGAATGTTTAGTTTCAGAGGGTGAATTTAGTGAGGATGAACTCAATCAAGATGAAGATGCTTTGGATGAAGGAGATGTTGAAACAAATGTGTTGGATCTGGGTGATGAGACACTTCAGATCGGGCCTCTTGATAAGGACAGGACAACGACTCAAAGGGCCCTAGCTTTACAAGAGAGTTCAGTTGAAAGAGCGTCGGTAACTGCAGAGGACAATGAACCTTCTTACAAGCCTGCAGATGAAGGCACAGACTTAAGTGGATATGAACTCGATCCTTCTGTGCTGCAGAAGTTAGGTGTTTTTACACCTGATGATGTGTCACTTATAAAGGAGAAATTTGGTAAATTTAATGCTAACCTTCCATCTTCAGACGAAAGTGATTTTGATTCTTCTAGCTCTTGTTCTGAAAGTGAAGACAACGATGATTTGTCTTCAGAAAAGAGTGAAGATCAAGAATCTGTCACATCAGAACATTCCCTGTTGCCCCAAAACAGCAAGAGGAAATCGTTTAGATGGGCGGATAATTTTGGACTTCCCTTGTGTAAAAATAAGTTAGGAAAAAATGATGAAACTACTCTTCCCAGCATGCCACCCAGTAAAATTCCAATCAGTATTCTCAGGCAGGATAAACTGTTCTTCCCAGGATGTTCTGCTTTAAGACCCTATCCAGTTTTCCTGAATCAATTCCACCAGAAAAAAGACACACATTGGTCCCATCTGGAATAAACGTTAAACTGAAGCTGAAATGGCAGCAATTTAAGAACAGAATGAAGCTTAAATTTGGGTGACTTCTGAAAAAAAAT